ACGCGCTTAATATTACATTACTGTATACTGTGTAGATGTTTAAATGTTCCGTAAATGGTAAATCTTGCAAAAATAAAAATAAATTTTAGAACTCGTCTAACGTAAGAAAAATGTATAAACTATATAAGAGATTATTTACAAGGACAACAAAATGTTTATACGAAGGTATAATATAATAATATAGGTATTGTATAAATAATTTTATAACATTGAACGTATCCTTTTTTTCATTGTAGTTGATATGATACAAATAAACACTGTCAAAACATTATGTAATTATGAAATCCTGTAACTCTTATTTTTAGACTAATACTAATCCTTTAACAAAGTATAAAATATTGAGCCATTTACAAGTAAGTATGAAGCGTACCTACCAACCTATACCTATTTATGGTGATAGCTGACCTTATACAAAGCATTATACCAACACAATGGTTTTCCATAATTTAAACACATCATATTGCTATAACAATTTTGTTTGCATTCACTGAATAGGAATCAAAAAGATTTGCAAGTCCAGCAAGACCTTCAATATTTCAAATTTTCAAATAAATGATCCATAAGTATAAACTTTGCAATCTTTACATTTTTTTTTATTATTATAATTATATAAGGCTTCAATAACACACGATTTTAGTCTACCTTTAAACAACATTTAGACAAATTAAATTTATTTACATTTGATTTTAGTACACATATTAATACATTATTTATAGCGAATTACTCAAGGTTATATCGTGGAAAAATGTACTGTTTGAAGCAATGTCGAGAGCTTCGAACAGTTAAATCTTTAAATTGTATTAAGTAGTATTGATGAAGGTATGGTATACATAACTTTGTTAACTACTTAACTTGTAATTGTGTATAATTATTGTTATCCATATCACACTTATTGTATTAATGTTATAACTATATTTATGTAATGTTTAAATTTTTGATATTTCATACAATGTGCAAAGATCTGACTGGCATTTATATCTATAAAATATAAATAAAATAGCTGAAGGTTTCAATTAAAGAAAACAATAATTATTATCTATTAAGTTCTTCGAACGAAAACTACACGTGTTATCGCTATACGATATACTTAGATAAATAACAGTTAGAAGACGTTTCACCCGCATGTGTTGTCTCCGTCTTACAAGTGCGTAACATTGCAAAAACTGTTTCGCGAGGGAAAGAACCGAGAATGATACAGTTATATAACTAAGAAACGAAATTTTCACCTCATAAAAAGGAGAATTTCGACTATGCAACGTTGTTTTTATTTTTTTGATATTAGAACTGAAAAAAAAGTTAGGTATTCGATTTTGAAAAACGCAAAAATAATGAATTTTGAAACAATAAGAACTTTTTTTCTATTTGTGATATCGAAAAATTGAAAACCACGTTGCACAGTAAATATTCTGAGAGGTTTAACNCCCCCCCCAAGTAGATTGGAAATGTTAAATATTCATCGGGATATTAAAATTTCAACAGATGCAGTACTAGATGAATTATCAAAATCATCGAGACAAATTCATATTAATTTATAACTTAATAGGTTAATGTTCTTAGAGCATAAGATATACATTTTTTTTTAATTTTTACTGTGCATGTCTTTAATTATAAAAAGAATACAATTGTATAGACATTTATATATATATAGAAAATATAGTAACCCCCCTCCCATAAATAATTCTGCGTACACCACTGATCTACAGAGTACAATATTATAGTGTATACTGTATATACAGACAACAATAAACACGCTATTAAATTTTAAAATGCATCTTTTTTTAGCGAACATGAATTAAACTAATCATAGCACTAAATCCTAAAGCCTAATTGCATAAAATTAATTACTTTATTCTACATATCATAGAATTTACTTTATAATATTATAGGCTGACAGACCGTCTTCGCTCAGAATCGTTTTTCGTATACAATTAATTCAAATTAAACACATCCATTACAATTAATTTTTAGGCACCTAATGTAGAGCAAAGTGTCACCCACTTACCCGTTTTTTGTTATATTAAACATTGCTGTTTTAAGTAGGTATATTAATAAATTTATTTAGATACTTTGAATTTATCATGTGTAAAATTATTAAAAATTATCAGTCAGTTTTAGGTATATAACTATATATTACATGCATCTAAATAATCAAATAATATACAACTATAACAAATTTCAATATCATAAGTAAATATACAAAATGACGATGTAGTAAAATAAAAATATTTAATCAGTCAAAACTAAAAAATAATTTATCAAAGACTATCGTAAGATAGTTGTTTCTAAAATGTTCGAAATAGGTAGCAATAATATTAAAATAGTTATTAGTCTAAATGTCTGATAATAAATTATCTACTATGCTACTGATATGTACATAGAAATATAGGATGATAATCCAATCAATATAATTTGTAAGTCAATAAATTTATGTTTGCTAATATTGTTAATAAAGAGCACGTGTGTTTGGATAATACTTAACAGTTGATAATTTGATATAAAGAATAATTTCTGTGAAATAATCAAGTTCTTAAGAATTCCAATAATGTTCCATACTTATTATGGCATTTTGGCTTTTGCCCATAAAAATATTTTAACATTTATGTGATTCTTATCAAAAATATTTTTAAAAGGTCACAGCCTATTCAACATATAAAATTCAATGTATTTACCTTCAACAAGATAAGTTTCCTTGTCACAATATGTCAATATCAACTAAAATCTAAATGTTCATAATGCAGGTTTTATTTTTAGAAATAAACTTTTTAGATTGATTTTAAATATAGTTTACAATCATTTATATTTTTAAAAACAAAATTGAATGACAGCTATAAAAAAAAAAATACCATTATAATTAAGAATAACCGTTTCAAATAACAAATATTGTTACCAAGCAGATTCCGATTTCAAGTTTTAAAATGTCTAATTTATACGTTGTGTCACCATTATCATCGCACATTAAAAGTGTGAACATTGAAAATGAGAAATTCAGACATTTTGTACGATTGGATAAAAATTAAGATTATATAAAACGAGGAAACTTTGTGCAGTCGAGTAAAATTTAAGATTGTATACACGGACACTATGTACTAACTATATAATAACGATACTAACGATATTATATCCATATTGTATACATAAAGTAAAAGTATTACAGGTATACAAAAAAAGTCCGTAGTCTTGACAAAATTATATTAAATATAAATAATATTATATTAATAAATAGAAATATAATATAAAATAATATAAATATAATATAATATAAATTATATTTAATTTTATTAAAATATTACTCAGTTTAAATACTATTTGGTATGTCCAATTTGACAGTATAATTATAATTTATACATAAACTATAGCACCAATTACGTTTGGTTGTAACTTAACCTATAGAGAGAAAAAATCTTTGATTGAAATTTTAAATTGACTTATTTATATTATTACCATTTTTAACTGACTTTTAAATATAACTTTTTATAATATAAAATAATTATAATTTATAGATATATTATAGCACCAAGTAATATTTAGTTGTTACCAGATAACTTTAAATTTAAAAAAACTGATTATTTTGACTTGTTTGTGTATTTTTTATAACATCTTTATTTTGATTTTAAATATCAAATAAATATCAAATAAATAAAATAAAGTTTAAATCTCATCAAACTTTTTAACTTTATAATATATATAATACAGTAGGTACTTATAAGTTTTATTTACATAATATATACTTAAATACTCTATGTATATAATAGTACAAACTACAAAGTTTCCGCGTTCCACAATGTAAATTTTTACCTGACCATATACAAAGTGACTATAGTGGCCGTTTACCAACGAAAAACTCTAGGAATTTATCTACGATCGGAGTTGCGAATATATTACTTTAATATAACATTTTCTTCATATTCATATTGTCTGAAACACCATTTGAAGAATATATCTTGAAATTAATAAAAAACTTTACATTTTGTAATAGGTATGTTCAAAATAACCAAAAATAAATTGTAAGTGTCCAATTAGAATGTACAATAAGTTTAAAAAAAATTTAAACCAAATAATTTACTTTATAATATTATTACTCAAAGCCCCAAAATATTATTTTTGTAACAAAATAATCCTCGTACATGTTTATATAGATTTAAGTTATGATCAAAAACCCAATTGGAAAGTCTATAAGAAAGCACATAAAAAATACAGTTTTTTCTATCATGTAACATTTTTAAAAATAAATTACTTAGAAAGTCCTGTAGAAAATCTATGAAATATGAGTGATCCCTGCTTAAATCTATAACTCTATAAATACTTGTTAATATAAATACTAAACTAGATGGAGAATGATCTTATAATATTATGGATCGTGTCTCTATCAGATAATGATATTAATAAGTATAAAGTATGTATAATACAACATATAGTAAGCTATCTTGTAGGTACATGATATTATGATATTTTTAACAATATAAATTATAAATCAACACCTACACATTTCGCAAAAACATTCCATATAATTCATAACATTATTATTTAGGCGTTTTAATCACAAAAACGGAGTGAGTACGTAAATGTAACCTCATCTAGAGCCAAAAAGCATATCATAATACATTTTTTACAATATTTATATCATATAGTTATTCCACAATATACCATCGTCGCGGAGACATTAATAATCGAGAGCAAGTTGTACACACCACAATAATTTAATAAAATATTATTTTCATTGGCTTAAATCGCATGCGACCCAAGTCTTATGTTATACATAGATACGCATGCCGTATTTTGGTATCTATCTATATATTATAAAGTGCAGCTGATATGACTAGTCACCCCCTCGCACACACTAATTCGCGTGTTTACCGCTTGTGTATATAAAAACCGACGGTTCATTTTGTCGTAAATGAATGAAAACCGATTTAAAAATAACGTATGTGTAGTAATGGTACAATAATAATAATAATAATCTTATAGTATGGTATAATATAATATAACGATGTGGACGGTACCTTTTTTCCAGCAGATCCGACGCATATATAATAATAATAATATATAGGTTGTGAACCACTGGTCGTATATTATGTCGTATAACAGTAGCGGATGTATGGACGTCTGGTTCCGATCGGCTGGGGTGGGTGGCTTAGCGCGGGTAAAACGAAACGTGGTGTTTGTGTAACAATAGTATATAATATTATATTTCATGCGAGGGGATGAACGGCGGTGGTTGGTGGTGGCGGCGGCGGCGACATCGACGGCCAGGTACCCGGGAAAGGTACCATAAACGCGAGCACGCAAAAACACTTGGGACACTTAGGAGAGATCCAGCGATCGGATCGGCCGCAGTGGTGGGACGCGACGCGGCTACATATTATCATCTGTGGTCGGAGGACGCGGAGCTCGACGTTTTTATATAGGTACCGCGCGCGCGTTCGCTTGCGTATCGACCGGAGCGCCGCCKTCTATCCGAAACTCTGATAGTACGCCGGAGGGGCAGCCGGGGCGGCGAGCGGACGACGGAGCGCCATCTGTGCGGGTCGTCGATGCGATCACACTATAATCACTTGTGGCGACGGAAAAGCTGGTATAGCTCTAGCTGGTTATACGGAAAACTTACAAACAATCAAATATTTGCACGGGCAAAACACGCGATTACATTTTAATTGTAAGCAATATTCAATACACTCCATGTCGATTTTGACTCATATATTGTAAAGGTAGGAGGTACTTAGGTACTATATTATAACTTAAACGTTTGTTCTATCACACATCGAGATATAATAATATATATAATCGCTAAATGTTAAAACGCATTAACGTGTATTATTGTTTTAGTTTTTTTTTTTTTATTGTCATCGCAACATGACAAATAAATGTATACGCATTTAGGAGAACGCAACGCACTTTGTTTTGATATTAATGCTACACGTCACTGTCTAATGTAGGTATAGATACACTATTTCATTGTTCGACAGCAGGCCTTTTTTCGGCTTTTCTCGATGCGCAATAGCAACAGCTGCATCCGTATATATATATATTATAGTCTGACAGTCCATGTTTATGTTATGATTCAGCGTTTCACGACCAATTTTGGACGCGATCTTCTTGAAAATTTTATRCGTTTGGTGTAATCCACAAAATATTATTAAAATCGATACGGAGATTTATTTTACAGTATTGCAATGCGGAAATATTGTATTTGGTTTCAAATTTATAGTATCGACATTTTAGAGWTGYGGGGGTGTAGTCCTGTATAGTTACACACTTGCATACAAATGCCTGTGTACACATTGTCACTCATTTTACTTGCAAAAGTTATCGATATATTTTGCACATCGTTACAATTATTTAAAATTCTAATAGAGATAAGATCCCACCGAATATAAAGCTGAATCACAACACTGCAAAGTATGCTTAGTATGCGTAAAATGTGAGAAAACCTCAAGTAAGGTTGGATTAAATTTAGAAATACAAGATTGTAAGACAGAATTGGGTAAATTATACAAACAACATATAAAATATAAGTAATTTCAAGCAAATATTGAGGAAAACACTGCTGGTAGGTATATAATATGTAATACGATCACAGCAGCTGCAGCTGCAGGAGCCGCATTATATTACCTTTGTCCATTCATAAGACATGCCCTAACAAACCATTGATGAACATCCATTTCAGTCGACGATACTCAATCAAAAACGTTCTAGTTGTSTGGTACACTCGATTTTTTTTAACAGTATCGTGTTATTTATGTATATAATTTATCCCAAAGATCGTATTAAGTCGATATTAACGATAGATGTACACAATTCTAAATATTAAATAACAATGTCTAGGCATACTTACACAACCTATAGCCGTCATTTATTACGATACGAGTTATTATCAAGTCATAATACCTAACTATATAATATATATATGTACATAGTACAGTGTACACTATACAGGATCAGTCATCGCTTATCCTCGTTTTCTAACAAACAATTGTTTGGTCACCCCTGCTACAAATTCAGGAGGATAACCCCCTATGAGATATCAAATACGCCTGCTGTGGATTACGGGAGCTATTGAAAAATTTCATCGATCATATATTTCAAACTTCGTTTACAGTTGTTGATGAATAGGGTTCGCATATACATCACCTGCGGCCTTAATATTGTAACTATTGGAAAATAACTTTAACGGATGAATCATTATTTTATATCTTTCCACAACAAAAACTATTAAAGTAAATAATCATAACCACGGGAAAAACTTTTTCCCCTTTACACAATTCAAGAGATTAAAATACGGTATCTTTATCTATATATAAGAACATATAAGTTCGTTAGATATATTATTGTTTTTTKGAGGGTTATATAAACTTAAGTTTACGATATTGTATTGGTTATTAGAAAATARTACACCCATCAATGTCTGCGCACTCAAAAATCAAGTGTCATGCTGCAACCAACTGTTGTTATTGTATTTTATATCATTATATTTATTAATTATCATTAATAAACTTTGAATTTGTACCTGGCTATAAAACTTTGATTAAAATAAATAAATATGAAATAAAATACTCTGTTATTATGTGTTATTGTGGTCAGTTGTAGTTACACAACACGTCACTTGTCACTTGTGAACTCGACCTATTAAGCATTAATTAACAAATTCGTCAAAATTTTACTTTAAATACTAATATTTAAATAATTTATTGTTAATTACAACAATATATAAGCATAGTAATAAGTATAGCTTCAGGTAAGTAAAGGTATAATTAATATTATATTCAGCGTTCGTATATAATGAAAAACAAGAGACTATTGTTTCTTTGTCGCTATATTTTATATCAGTGGAGTTTCACACCTTCATCTATAATTGTATGCCCTAATTATACATGTTAAAGTTAATATAGATTATTATTGTAAATAGAACATAGTGACGTAGTGGTATGTCTTAATACTTTGATTAGGGATTTTAAATCGTTGGTTAAATTGGCCGCATCCATTTGTTAATAAAATATATACAGTGTTCAGAAATGCAATTAAACTGTTAAACTTCTAAGCTATTTTAACTTGCATGATATTAAGAATATAAGATATCTCAAATGGGTGGACAAATTTTTCACTATGATTTTCATATAAACACATCGAATTCAAACTTGATATTATCTATAAAATTATAKATAATAGATATTAGACATTTAAAATTTAAATACGGAAATCATCTTGAAGAAATAAATACGCCTGACACATGTTTATGAATTAACACAGGTGAGTACAGCAGACAATATTATTATTATTGTAAGAAATTCATAAGAAGTTTTTAATATATTTATACACATATTATATTATATAGATTGTAGKTACTATACTGTATACATTTAAATATATAAATGTATTATGTATTAAAAGTAAACAAATCGATATTTTTCTTCAAAGTTGAGATGTCAAAACACATGAACAAACTAGAATCATTAATATATAGGTTTAAAGTATGTATGGTTATATTATATTTTAATCAAGTCATAAAAGTGCATATACAATTAGTAAAAAAATGCGTTTAATCATGAGATAAATATTTTTTTTTAATAATAAACATAATATATTGAAACTTAAGATTGAGATCACAAATAGTAAGTAAATTAGTTTCATTATCAATTATTAATAAAGTAGATGTAAAAATAAAATTTAAATTTAAATATTAATGACAAAATAAATATACTCTGGCAAAATTGGAAGAAAACAATTATTAATATAATAATATATATATATATAAATATAATATTAATATATTATATATATATTTATTTATTATATGAAAATTCACGCTTAACTATTACAATAAAATATTATAAATATTATTATAACTCATCTGAAAAAATTAAAATTTAATCTACCGATTACCAACAATAATTACCAATAGCTAAGACCCAAATTTGATTAATTTTGTGCCTTTTATTTATCATAAACATTTTAAAATATTTTAAATCTAATGTTTTGATTAAGTTATATTTTTACCTAACTTAAAAAACAAGTAAACATATATATTGGCACTTATAATAACCCCTGGAAATTCTTTTCCCGTGATTGTCTTTACCCTCAATTGTTTCTTCTTTTGTGGTCATATWTATACTATTTGGTAATTAAAATGTCCTCTCAGATAACACTTTTCAYAAGTTAACATATAGGTATTGATTTAATCTTTTATTATTAATAAGGTTCGAATTTTCATTATCTACCTAAAATGTTGTACTAAATTATCTTTATTATAAATAAAAATTAAATAGGCAAATTTATAAGTACCTACCTACGTATTTATAACTACTATAACAACTACTTTATAAGAGTTTATGAACAAGGAAAATTTGTAGAAGTCAGATAAAGTTATTTAAACTAAAAAATAATTAATAAGGAATCATTTTCAAACCTTACTACTCAAATTTATTTTTAGCCATAAAATTAATTAAGTAATTGAATTAATAATTGTCAATACTACCCACACTATTGAAAAAACCTAAAACTAAATTCAAAATATGTTGATAGCTGTTTACAAACWACAATACAAGACAATTTGTTGAKTGTACCGTTATTAAATACGTATTAGCATTCATCAACAAAATTTAAACATTTTGATAATATACAAGCAATTCATTGTTAAATTGTAAATTTAAGAAAAATCGATGATTAATCGAGTTTTTAATTAAATTTATACGTAATATTTTTTGAATTATGAATTATCACAGTAATAGTCAGAATATCAGATAAATATATTATAGTAGATTATGAATCTATTATAAAATGACTTGAATATTATTAATATGATATGCTTTGCTCGCACTTTGCCGTGTGTTACGAGTAAAYAGSTAAAATGTCGTGGGAATAAAATGAATAGTTAATCAAAAACAAATAGAATTCAGATATGAAATGTAAACATAACCTATGTAGCAACGAATTTTACCAAACAATGCATTTATCAACGGGATTCATTCGAGATCCAGACGGACATCCATATGCTTTGGCAAAATCGTCAGAATTCGACAAGGGACCCCAAACTCGTGTGGGCCCAGGCGAGTGCACGGAGGATCTGACTTTTGTCAGTGCGTCTTCTGGTCTCATTGAACCACACCAGATTTGCGCGTAATTTAAAAAGAATAGTTGGTCGTGTGTCATGTCAATGCCAGGAAGTAATGGTTCTTCTCCATGTTTGGTCACCCATTTCTTATAAGCCTGAAAACAATTCGCTCATCGCATATTATCATATTTACATATCGAKTTAGCATGAAAATGAATAGGGTTCGGATTTTATGGCTACATAAACAATATAAACAAATTTGAAAAATAGCAAGAATAGATTTGATATATTATTTAAAAATGTAATASCCAGTTATTAAACCAAATAAACTGATGTGTATTTAAAAAAATAATAATTACGCAAT